AAAAAAAGACCTTTATTAATATCATAATTTATTGATTTAAGTGAAAGGTATTAATTTTTATTAAGTAACATTTTAAGTTTTAGTAGATTAATGAAAAAAAAAAAAAGAAATGTAATTGTATTTTAACGAAAAATTTCGAAATTCTTGTATTCTAGATTTGATGAGAAATACGACATTGATTCTGTAAGCATGAGCCAGCGATACAACACGAGAAAGGTTAGACAAAAGCTCCAAAGTAAACTGCACCTTTCGCTTTTTCTGCAGATTCTTCGTCTTCCAATCCGCAAAATCCATCGCCAAATTCGCCTGAGAAATCTTAACCCGATTCATCTAAGGGATTGAAGGATAGATTGAGATAATTGGGTCGATCGTGGGATTTTCCCATACCCATTTTGATCGATCGGCATGTCCTTCTCCTTCTTCAAGCCCTCGAGGCCGAAAACACCCCAGGAGGTGGCCAAGACGATCAAGGATAGCCTTATGGCTCTCGATACCAAAACCGTCGCCGAAGTTAAAGCCCTTGAAAAGGTGGGTTGTGCTCGCTAATATAAATTTTCGTTCTTTTTTCAGAAAATGTAAGATGGTTGAATTTGTTTTCCTTCTTTTTCTTTTTCTTTTTTCCTTCCTATTGGGATTTGAATGGGTTTAAGTGGTTGGATCAGAGTTTGGTGGTAATGCTGAAAGCATCAAATGGGTACTGGAATCATCCCATTTGGTAGTCATTAATGGTATTTAATCTGCTATTTAGATGGAAAATGTAGCTGCTTTGGTCCTATATCACTGTTATCTTTTGCAATTCAACTTGATTTGATAATGCTGATGTCTATAATCTGCTTTTATAGAACAAATGCAGCCATATCTGAGGAAGACATGGGTTTTCGGGAACAATTGAGTTTTGACATAAGTGGCATTTGATCTATTTGTTAATAATACATTTCAATTTGTAAGTTATAAGTTTTGATCTTGACCCTTGTATGCATGCATAACCTTAGGCGATGGAAGAAGTTGAGAAGAATTTTGTGACCATGAGATGCATGCTTTGTGGAGATGGGGAAGTTGAACCAAATCCGGATCAAGTCTTGCAGTTGGCAGTTGAAATTTGCAAGGAGGATGTTCTTGATCTTCTTATTAACAAGTTGCCTACTTTGGGATGGGAAGTAGGTTCTCATGTTTCTCATTATTCTGGCTTATATTTAGCTTTTCTCATCAGCTAACAATGTAATCTTTCTTTATTCAGGCGAGAAAGGATTTAGTACACTGTTGGTCCATATTGTTGAAGCAAAAAGTTGACTCCACATATTGCTGTGTGCAGTATATTGAGAACCATTTGGAATTGCTAGATTTTCTAGTTGTATGGTAATGTATCTGCTGGAAATGGTTATCAATCTTTACATGTGATCCTCGAACCTACTGAAAAATAAAAGTGTTTTGAGTTTAAGCATTTAGATTAAGTGGGGTAACACTCACTATTTTCTTTTGCTAGCAGCTATGATAACAAGGAAATTGCTTTGAATTGTGGGAATATGCTAAGGGAGTGCATCAAATTTCCAACCCTTGCAAAGTAAGACGTGCAAGCCTTTTGTCTATATCTTTCATGCTTTTGTGCTTATCTATGGTTTCATTGTTCTTGCTAAAATTGATACTATCTTTCAAGAGGCCAATGGGGATTTTGAGCCCTCCAGCATTTGTAGAGTAATGATGATTGATTTCCTAATGCCTATTTCCAAATACACACATGCCAAGCCAAGCTTAATAGGCGGCCAAAAATAAAAGGCCATGCATGGAAGTTACCCCACTATGAGATCCAAAGTACAAAGCATGCTTCCTTGTTTAAGTAGACCGATCATTTCCTGTAGTGCATTCCTCTTATGAGTGATATAAATTGAAAATTTAAGGTTCTCCTATTTTTTGGAAATTGTATTTCAAGTGCAATTTTTAAGTTGAAAAGCAAGTTTCACTTTTTTCACTCTGGTAAATTTTGTAGTGATTTTTCAGATACATATTAGAGTCTCCCAGCTTTGTTTTATTCTTCAAATTTGTGGAGTTGCAAAACTTTGATGTTGCTTCTGATGCATTTTCAACCTTCAAGGTTAGATCTATTATTTTGTGAATTTTAATGGTTCTTTATGTTCACTTTATAAAATCAGGCTTCTCATTTGCTTCTTCTTTATGCAAACACTAAATAAATATTTCACAGGATTTGCTTACTAAACATGGAGATGTTGTCTCTCAATATTTGACTGCTCATTATGATGAGGTATTTTTCTATGGTTGTACTTTGCTGCTTATATGATATAATACTGAACTGGTCCAATCAAAACCCAATGCTGCTCTAGTTTGTAGAATCAATTTAAAACTATGTTGGTTGAATAATTCCATCCAGAACAAAAAGGTTGTGGAGAATATCATGTAAACAATCAGGTCTTTCTTTTACCTTGTCTTTGTGGTATTGGGTGGGGGATTGGGGATTCAAACGTGGTGCCACCTGGTTTTTCACCCATGTGCTCATGGATGGTCCAGGGAGTGAAATTTTGTTCCTCTCTAATTGTGTTGGGTTGTATATTTCCCATTTCATCTTTTCAGCTAATGTAATGAGATAGTGTTGTTTCAGTTCTTTGATCTATATGAAAAGCTCCTGACATCTTCTAATTATGTCACAAGAAGGCAATCTTTAAAGGTTAGTTCTGGCAAGGTGTTACACTTTCCAGTTCTGCTTAACTGCTTTTCTGTTTCAAAGTGTTAATTCCAAAATGTTTCTAAATTCAGCTTCTATCTGAATTTCTTTTGGAGCCTCCAAATTCCAATATAATGAAGCGCTTTATTCAAGAAGTTCGGTTCTTGAAAGTCATGATGACATTGCTCAAGGTTGTGTTTTTAATCAATTTTACTTTCTTCTCTTTATGATTGTTTTTAGTGTTAATTGGTTTACACTCTATGGTGTCATTGGTGGTGCTGATGTATATCTTGAAACTATGAACTTTCTAGTAACTCTTGATAATTGTCTACTATGTTAAAGCTGTATACTCTCTCAGTCTCAGTAATCAAATTGTTCACCATTTTTCTTTTTTCTTTTTTTTTTTATCCTGTATTTTTTTGCATATTTTGGACTGTTTGATTTTCTTAGTTATTATAATATAACCAAGAAACATAACTATTAGGATGCTTTCCACTTGGTATCTCGTTAGTTTCTTATACAAACATAGTCTAACTGATCAATGTTCAGTCATATGTTAACTGTGATGTCCATCATTGGGAAAAAAAGAAGATTAAGGAGGGTTAATGTACTTAAAGAAGAGAGAATGACAAATTTGGGTTGTTAATTTTTCCACTTTTCATAAATAGAAAACTGGGTCAATTCATTAACTTTTGGATGTATGTAAGGCCTGTTTGGCTTTTCAACATTCAACCAATGACACACATTTAAACCATTTACGCTAGGGTTAAACATTGACAGCAGCTTATTCATTAATTGTAATATATTGCTTTTCTGTAACAGGATTCAAGCAAAAACATCCAGATCTCAGCTTTCCATATTTTCAAGGTGATATATTCTCTCTAATTCGTATTTCCATTGCTACTAATTGTTATCTAGGCTTGTTAATGGTCAACAGGCTAGAGTGTAGCTTCTTGTTGTAAGCTTTTGTCTCTTTTTGGTCCCTCTACTTTAAAAAAAGTCCCTTTTTAGTCCCTTCACTTTGGAATTTCCATCATCTAACACTTTATGTGTGCAAAAAATAACAGAGGGACTAAAAAGCGGCTGATAATAAACTTTAGGGACTAAAAAGGGACTTTCTTAAGTAGAGGGACTAAAAAGGGGTTTTTTCTGTTAAAGTAGAGGGACCAAAATGGGGTTTTAACCTTAACTAGTAAATGGTAGTAAGTTCTAGATGTCAAGATTCTTGTTTAGATTTCTTAACTTATATGCATCTGATCCAAATCTTAGTTTAAAATTTTGTAGCAAGGTCCTTTTAAATAATGTTTGTACGGCTTCTCGTATTTATTTGTTTGTTTCCCAGGCTTAAAAGCCACAGTAGTAAGCTAAAACCACACAAGAAAAGGGTAACTCTTGGTGGTCATGAAGCAGGAGCTGCCGAAGGGATGGATTTGCTTCTATTAGATTGATGCTGAAGCAATTCATCTTATGAACATATACTTTTCTTTGACTCGGTTGTTGATATTCTGAATCAAACCTTAATCAAAATAATAGAAACAGCAAAGAAAAGATATAGTTAGTTTTCCAATACTGTAATCCAACCCTTTAGGTCCCATGATCATTAGGAGATCTCACAATGCTGATAGTCTTCTAGTGTTGAGATGAAGTTTCTTGGAGACGAATGATGATCATTTAATTAAGATTGGAATTTAACATTAGGCACCCTTGGGATTGGAGTATTTGTTCTGCTGCGCTTTCAAAGATTGTTGGTTCTTTATAATGAAATATATATATATCATTGTTTCACATACAGGTTTTTGTTGCTAACCCTAACAAACCAAGAGAAGTAAAGCTTATTCTGGCCAAAAACCATGAGAAGTTAGTGGATTTGCTTCAGAATCTCCCCGGAAAAGGTACTTGACTTTTCAGCATCATATTTCTCACACTGTTGCACTCTCCCCCCAGATATACAGTTGTATACAGTTGTGCTGAAAATATTCATTCTGAACCTGCATTTTATTGTCACCCCATACTAGTTTTTGACCTGATATTTAACATAATGTCTTAATTGCAGGAGCTGATGATGAATTTGATGAAGAAAAGGAACTGATTATCAAGGAAATTCAGAGAGTCTCCCGACTACCACACCTTGAACGTTAACCTACTCCTTATTGTTGGTAATTTCCCATTCTAATTCTAAGGGATAATATCTGTGTCAACAAGCAAAGAAAGCTGCATTTACTGATTGTTAAGCCACCGGTATGGTGAGAATTTGTGATCACATGAAATCATGTTAGTGGTGTCATCTAGGCACCTCCCATTGCAGATCCTCCAGACAAATTTGATCATGCGTAGGTAAATATGAGTTTTGCATAGTAAACGGCATTTGTGTGAGCAATCCATGTTCTGTAATTATGTTCTGAGTGATTTAGATTTATGACCCTAGACCTTAACCGCCGGATTAAGGTGTGAAGCATAATTGAAGCTCTTCTATTTGCCATTCTTTTATGATTTTAACTTCTGCGTTTGCAGTTCCATAAAGGATTAAATGCACAGAGATGATTTCCCAATTCCTATTATTAACCTGTGAACATGATGGCCCTGTGACTTGTAACGAAACAGGACATTGTGGATTGAGTGTGGTGTGGAGGTGAGGTGTCTAGTTGGGTTATGTTTTATTGGATGTAATCACAAATTAAATAAAGCTTGTTGGAAGGAATCATGAATCCATCTTCTATATATAATCCATCTTCTCAACCGTCTCTATAATGAACCTCAAACAATTTTCGGTGAATAATAATAAGTGTGCTCGACCGAAGGCCGAAAAAGAAATAATAATAATTGTGCTCAACTGAAAATTAGTGTGTACACACCTCATTTTATCTCTTCTCTTTTGCATTTTAAATTATAAAAATAATTTTTTTATTTATTTTATCATCTAAACAGTAAAAAGTATTTGTTTTGACTTATTGAAAATAATTATTAATTATTAAAGTTAATCAAATGTATTAAATATTTTAAATAAAAAATATTAATAATTAATAATCGTCACATATTTAACTACCAACTATCTGAAATAATAATAATAATGAATTCATTCAAGAATAACTGCAATGGTAATGGGAAAACTAATGAACTTCAGCACGTTAGACTGTAAGGCTAAGGAACTTAAAACCTGAAAATATGGACAAGAATGAACGCTTCCAATGTCCTGGAACCCAGTTCTGTAAGCCACCTCCCATCATGTGCAACAAAATCTTTAACAATACAGATACCCTTCCTCCACAACTGCTTTCAGGGAGGTAGGGATTTGAATGGTCAGAAGGGGTAGCTGGAGGAGTGGTTCAAGAAATCATGACGGAGGACTTGGTGGAGATTGATGGTAACTTACTGCAACAGCCGTCCGAGCAGCCCTGAGAAAAAGATGCGATAGAGAATATGCTGAGGAATTGGAAAACATGTTGACTGCATAGAGCTTGGTGGTGAGTCACAGCAAAAGCAGCCGGAGCACAGCTTGGAAGTACAATAGAGAATATGCGGAAGAATTGGAAGCTATATTGGATATGAATTCAGAGGGGCCAATGGCACAGACACAGCCACTGCAGCAGCCCCAAGAAGAAAAATCACAGGCAAAGGGGGATTGTGGTTGGCAGGGTCGGATCAAAGCGGAGTTATTGGTTAATCAACATAGCTATAGGGTAGGGGACTTGCCAATGTGAATGACTTGAAATTTAAGGGAAGAATTTGATCAAGCAGGAAAGGGCAACAAAGTAGGGAATAAACTCCAAACTTGTCTTAGATACATGCTTAGTGCCAGTACAAACCAGGCAAAGTTATGCCATATCAATAACAGTTTTCATATTTAGGAGATGATCATTAATTACATCTTGATTATATGCCAACCCATTATCATGATGGTATTTATAACCAATTATTTGCGGCTGAGAAGCCGCAAAATGATAAGAAAGAGGTTCAGGATGTCCAAGTAGAGACTAGCGGAGGCCAATATATAGTCATCATATGTGAAGCGTTTGATCAAGTTGTCAGTGTGATAGAGAATGTACCCACAGAAAATCAAAGCACCGAGTCCACTATAGACAGCAACAGATGTTGGGCCAAGAGGGAAGACCATCTGCATCCATAAGAGAAAACATAGCAAGTCGGATAAATATTAAATGTATATCACCAACAAACCTGTCCCAACTTATCGGGTGTAAAGTTGGGATGCATGTTCAAACACATAAACATTTAAGCACATTCAAATCTCAATTACCAGCAATGATGGTTAAACATCTAACCTGGATAAAGCCAGTAAGGATGAGAACCATGAGTCCAGTGAATAAAATTGGTGCAAGAAAGCTGAAATCCTTGCCCTTCTTAGAGGCCCAGAAAGCGTAACCAGTAAGAGATGAAACAATCGCTGAGGTCAGAATAAGTGCTTCAAGCACAATTCTTCCTGAAAGCAACCCATGGTAAACAACGTCAGATAATAATTCTATCACTAGCTTAGCCTTTTCCACAAGTAGCATATGATCAAACATTTAAAAGGTGGACAATGATACTAACCATCTGTATTAGCACAGCTTACACCGACAGCAAGACTTAGAGATGCAGTGAAAAGACCAAGGATTATCAAGTTCACCGGGTGCTTTTGGTGATAGATATGAAGGGGCCAAATCACTGCATGGAATGTTTACGTTTAAAATACAGTATAGTTTAATGATACCATAATGGCAGCATGGTTTTCTTTCTGCTTTAAGCCAGCAGATTTATAAAAAAGCTCTTAACTAATTCATTCATGCATAAACTATAAAGTATAAAACTTTAAACTGGGTGTAAAATCAATCTGAAAACACATTGAAGACAGCACACTACTTTAATAGTACAATCCATTACAAAAAACAGTCATACCAATTTGGTTAGAATTCAGATAAACACAACTATATGGTCACAATTGTAGGTCTATAACTTTTCATATGGTAAATTGGTATCATGAATTACATCAGACTAGCCACTGCAAGGGTCCATAAAATCAAGATTACCCTCAGGAAGCAACAATTGAATAATTCAACAAAAAGCCAGGATTTTGCCAATCAAAAAATGCTAAAATAATAAATGGGGTCATTAGAAATTTGAGGGATTGCCGGTACTGATCCATAAAACTCCCAACCTCTCTGAAAACAGGAGAAAAGCCAAAACTTTTCAATATGTGAATATCTGAAGCCAGCCATAGAAAGAGAAGAGAACCCAATTAAGACATCAGAAAACCATAATAGAATGGATTTCTAGAGAACCTGATGGTGGCGACGGAAGGGATCAAAAGTAATACGTAAAATTATATGCTTGAGAAACAATATGCTACAAATTCAAATAAAATGTTACTCCAACCATCCTCGTAACAAACAGGTCAAGAGAACTCACAGATAAAGGGAAGGAAACACAGGAGGAGCATAAGTCCAGGATGGCCGCGGAGGAGATTGTTTACCGGGGCGCTGAAAAAAACGATGGCCGATACGACGGTGGTGAGGACGATCTGGCCAGCAAGGATGCCGTAGACCTTGCGGATGAACCCCCATCGGAGCTGGTTCTCATCCGGGCTCAGACCAGGATACAGTGTCTGCCCTGCCTCCAGGTCCACCCCATCCTTGGTGCTCACTCTCTCGAACTCGTTCATCTTTGATTTTCCTCTGAACTGACGGGTAAAATGTTGAACATCGTGGATTTATACACTTAGGTGAGTGTGTTC